AAATTATACATGTTTCTTTTGTGCATGGATCTTCTTGCTTTGTATTAGCGAATAAGATAACTTTTATCTTGTGTCATGATTTCATACATTGCATCAGTTGTGAATACTATTTCGGTAAATCAAGAGATACATCTATCGATTTTAACAGAAAAATACTCTATATGTTTTAAATAAAGAAGATGTACACTTAGAATGTTATCGACATTCACTTCAACCACTCTGTGCTTCCCGGATGTTATCGATGAAATTTTATTTATCCACAGAAAAGTGCCCGAAGTAAATACTTGACACGAGGACATGTTTTACTCACGTTTCTTGCTATAGGTCTCAATTTTTGTTCCCAATAATACACTATAATTGTCTTCATTTTATTCATTATGTTATGTAACAGGTGTTGCACTTTGTCAAATGAGTAAATAATTTAACACGTCAATCATAATTTTATTTTTGATTATAGAGAGAGAGAGAGAGAGAGAGAGAGAGTCATCAATATTAGGAGCTATAAGGATATTTAAAGAAAAAGTTGATGTAGCATAGAAACAAGACTGTGAAGTCTTAATTGAAAAGGACAGCCTTTTTTTTATACCAACTTGTTTTTAAGTACCAGGTATCTTGCAGAATTTAATCTTTTGTCTGAGAATGTGAAGGTAGCGAATAGTGATCAATCCCAAAATTCTTAAAATAACAAACATTAAAGAAACAGTTTACGTAAGAATTAATTTAACTTTTTACTAATCACTTTAGCGTCAAGATTATAATTGCAGTAAACAAAAGTGTCAAAATATGAATACGAGAAATCACAGTTAGTTTTGACAGCAATAAATTCAGTAAATCAAAATGAAAAAAATATTACTGCAGCATATAATTCTTTGTCACAAAATTCCTTTTATTTTCAAAACAAAGGTATTATCTAGTCTTTTATATCATCTCAGTTTACCCACTTGAAAATAAAAAGGTCATTACCCTTTTCCTGGACATTAAGAATAAAAAAAAAAATACTGTTCCAATCATGCGATCCCTACTTGTATTTCAAAAGATTTAATGTTTTTCTTTTTGCAAAAAAGATACAAACATTAATAAATATATTTACCAAATTGACAAAGATAATTCAACTAAAACGAATATTTGCTAATTCGAACTTTCTCCACTTTCCTTAATTTTTTAGGATATATTAGTTATATTCATATGCTTCCTATATTTAAATTATTCTCATTTTCACATATAGTAAAGATTTTACATAAAGGTACAAAATGATACAAAAACAAAAAGTTTTCATCGTTTACTAAGAGAAAAATTACTTTTTACGGATTTTTGTAACTCAAAATGAATTAAAAGCCAACATCCTTCTAATTTGTCTGAACAATCTTAATTTTTTGATATATTTTGAAACTTTAATTAGTCGCTTATTATTAATTTAACTTACATTTGAAAATTTCATCAAGTCTTTGATTGCATAAAAATTATAACTAAATTTAATGTTCTATGATAAGTTGGAGAGGCAGAAAAGAAGATATTTTCATACGACACCATTCCGCCAAAAATATAGTCCCTGCTAGTTTTTAAGCGCAGTTTAACATTTATTTAAGTTGTACAATTGTGAAGAGGATAGAAAAATATGATCTTTTAAATCTCTTAAGCCTAAATATATAAGACATATAAGCAAATATACTTTGAATATCTCATCTAGTCAGAAACGAGAGGAGAATCCTACCTTAAAGCAAATCAAACAACGATATATAGTAAATCTGAGTGTAACTATAGTAAATCAAAGTTTCCTCTTATTTCATAATAATATTTTTGATAGGGAATACACCTTGCGAGTAGGAGAAATAAATACCTCCTTGATTCACCAACGATCGGCTCAAATGTCTTTGGGTAGTGAGCATCCCATTTTGAAAAGATCAAACAGGATGTAAGCTAATCCTCTTGCACTAGAAATGTGGTAACCCTTAGACAAATAAATTAAAATGAAATATGGAGAAAAATAACATTAAACAATACAAATAAGAATCAAATCAAACACGGGCTTCAAAAACATCAGAGGTAGATCAGGTGCGATGGAGGAGTAAGTAGCCCCTTCCCACCAGTCATATACGCCGTGTGCTCCTTCATTTGATAGAAAAACGGGAAAATCTTGTGTGAAAATAATGCCCTAAAGAAGATTTTACATAAATTACATATTAAATGTGGCGTAAGATTTTATTACTTTTACAATTGATAAATTTTAGATATTAAAATGTAAAAGTCAGCATACGCTCTTCAATAAAACGTAGGTCGCTAATGCATTTTACGTCAGGCATTTTTAAATTAATTATATGACGATAAAGAACAGTATTCAAGTTCAAAAGTCCATCAGAAGTCTTTTTAACAATGAAAATACGGACCCATAAAACATCATAGGTGGTATAAGTTGCCATGAAGAAGTGAGCATTCCCTGCTTACCTGTCACACCTGCCTTGTGCTCCTTATTATATATAATTGGGAAATAAAGAGAAAAATACTCAACAAGTCAGTGCTTAGATAAAAATGTTTTAATTGTTGTTGAATTCGTTAAGTGCTGATTTTCAAGAGAAATGTTGATAGCCGTTAACTGCAAATTGTAATGGATTTTTGATTAAAAATTGATAAAACACAAAGCTTACTCTTGTTTTTCCGATTGAGATATACCACTTGCAGGTATATGACTTTTACACCACTTGCAGGAATTACACATATATTTTTAATGGGTTTTACTAAAAATTTACACAAATATCAAACAATGAGTTTGTGGTATGTTTTATTTTGTCAAAAGGATATGTTGCCACAACGTAACAGCATATTATCATATCAAAATTTTATCCTATCATTATTCAAAAACTGAAAGCAATTACGGAATTATTTGGGCCAAAAAGCACCATGTTTTTTTTAACTTTCCTCCTCGATAAAATCTTAAATTCACACACAAAGGGGACCAACTCTAATTATTTTATCGTGTTTTCTACTTCAATGTATCTCGTGTATCAGTGTTTTTCTCTCATCAAACAAAATTTTCTTTCAATGGATATTTTGTAAAACACAATTTTCTGTATTTCTGTTATATTATATGCAGACATTAAATCAAAATTTGAATAAAAATTTATGTGCAAATTTGATTTCTAAAAATTATCAAAACGTTTTCCAAATAGTAATAACTGTGAATAAGACGGTAAGACAGAGAAAAATGGGATTTTTAAAAATTTTTATTATGTATCTTTTATAACTATAAAAGATTTTATTTATAAACTGAACAAAATGGATTATCTATATGAGGAAATATCAAAAGTCCATGCAATTACAAAATAGGATCAGTGCAATCAAGAAAAAACATGAAATATTTGGCCCACGTATCACTCAAGACACTTCTCTAATGAACATTTTCCACCTACACACAGAGTTTATAGAAAACTGAATCTGGTTTTCACGTTATTTCTCGATCTTGAAATGAACACGAAAAATATATAATAAAACAGCGTTTTAGTTACAAATTTGAAAGTACACAATCTATAATTTCAACTTTCCTCCTCATAAATTTCCGAATTAACTTTAAAACTTTTCACACACAAAGGGGACCAACTCTAATGTTTATAGTGTTTTCGACATTAATGTATCTCGTGTTTCAGTGTTTTTCTCTCATAGTATATTTCGTCAAACAAAATTTTCTTTGAACAGATATTTTGTAAAAAAAAAAATTCTTATATTTCTGTAATATAACATGCAGGTATTTAATCAAAATTAGAGTAAAAATTTATGTACAAATTTAATTTCTGAAAATTAACAGAACGTTTTCCAAATAATTTTAACTGTGAGTAAGACGGCGACACAGAAAGAAAAGGAATTTTTATTTTCATTATGTAATTTTTTTAAAAATATATCCCCTAATGGTTATCTAACAACCAAGCTCTATGATTAACGTGACGACTTAAAATTTTCTTCCCTTACTTATGCAGCAATATACCTTCATCACCTGCACACTGAGTTAATGGTCCATTTTATACACTGAATTTACAACGGGTTTTCATGTTATTTCTCGATCTTGACAAGGAGCAAACGGCGGATATGACCGGTTGGCAAGTGATGTTCACTCCTCCATGGCACCTGATCCCACTTCCGAAGTTTTGGAGGTCCCTGTTTGTTCTCCTAATTTGTATTGTTTTTTTGACTCTTGAATACTGTTTGTTATCTCCATATGTTTCATATCTCAGTTGATTCGATATGCAAGAGATGTTCTACATATGAACAATTTCTAAAACGAGGTAAATTATTGACAAACAAGTTGATATACAAGAATATCAACAGTCACGTTTAATTCATCATTTTGTCAGTCCTATGGTCGAAACAATGACTTTGTCAACAAGCATATTTTTTAGCGGTGAGTTAAATGCTGATTGACGTTTTTCTTACTATATACATTGAATTGAAGACAGATTTTTCTGCTATTTCCCGATTATGACAAGGAGCACACGAAAAATTGAATTTACAACGTTAATGATAAAGCTTTGTGACCAACTTTTTCAAAATATCAGGTGATGCTAACTCTTTCAAAGCAAATTAACCTAATACCACCTCTGATGGTATGGTTAATATGTAGTATATATGGTTAATGAATTCTGAATAGAAATAGACTCTGCCTACAAACATGAAATTAGTTTCTTTCAAATTGAATTTAAAACTAATTAAAAAAGTGAAATGCCCTTAAATATCGGGAAGTTTCTTGTACAATTGTTCTAGACTACTTTTTTTATTTGAGCTTGTCTGTTGCTTGAAAACTTTTAATTTATAAATGTAAAATATACATATAGGCATTTTAAGTGCTATTTTTATACGTCAAAAATGAATTTACTTGAAAGGAAAGAATAGATAAAGAAACTTCATTGTTGCAAATATTTTAAACAAGGAGGACAAATCCAATGCACATGTCTTTAACATAAAAATTTATTATCTTCTTTTAACATCTGGCAAGTGCATTAACATCAAAGTAAAATATATCTAGGTATCACTTAAACATCTGTCAAGTGCCAGTCGTTGGGTTGTGTATTAATTCCTAACGTAAACTTAAGTAATCTATTGTATCGTGTACAGTCAAAGAATAGGGGGTTTAAAGGGGCATCCAAATATGCAGCTAGAATTAAATCATCAATAGTGTGGCATAATACCTTCGTATCAAACTCTTTGTCACTACATATTAGAACATTTAAATGAACAGTTGAGTATTTTTCCTCGTCGGATTGAATACCATAATCTCTGACCGCCTTGCCATTGACGATAACACTGTGAAAGATTTAGAGTGTTCCGCCGAGCCGCGCTATATCTATTCACGCCGCCAGCGAGATAAACAGAGCTCTAGAAGCTAGTCCTTTTTTATGTACATAAAAGGGTTCTAATTGAAAACTATGTAGAAAGTCTGTGGCGTTTCTGTCGGCGGCGTAAGACCACGGAATCCCCCGGCCTGTCTACCTGTTTACCTTCCTACCTGTGTGCCACTTACGATCAATACACTTCAGCCGAAAATCAATTCTGTGGAGTTTACTTTAAAACGGTAAAAAGTGACCTATCAGTTATTGTACTGACGGGCACCTGTTAGGGACCCGGTCAACAGACATGGAGAGGGGAGACAAGGCGCGGATCTAAAGGGTGGAGGTAAGTGAATCATTAATCGTCCCACCCCCCTTCCCCTTAACTTCTCTTTCACACGACAGCAGATCGATCTGAAAGTTTCAATTCAAACTTAATGGAATCTAAATAACATCTGTCAATAAACCAAGCGGCCAACAGTAAAGGGTATTCGATTATGAACTTGTACTTTATATGGACCTTTCAAGTGCGAATCGAAGGTATGGTCTTTTGGTTTTATTTCTAAATAAGATATTTCTAAACTGTATTTCAAGTTTTATTCGTCACCACAGATGATAAAGCAGATTTTATACGGATTCTACACACTATAGGTACATATAATTATCATAAGACATAAGTATTGACAATAAAAGATCTGTATTCAGTAAATGAAAGCGTATGATTTGAAAAAGAAAAGTATGGGATAGATGTAGCAGGTCGTGCTAGCTTTAGCACCGTATGATAACAATAGATGTAGCAAGTTTGCCTGATACAGATAAGTTAATTCAAAAATGTTAAATGTAAGATTAATTTTATTTCATCAAATATTTATTTTTAGTAATAAGCAGAAATTAGACTTGCCAATTCATTCTCAAAATTTGGGGATAAAAGTTGTTTTGCTGTTGTAGGGAATCTGAACTGTTCTAAACAATGAAATTTAAAAATTGTAGATTGGACAATACTTATTTAATTTATTTAATGAACATCCATCTGATTATTTGAATTTATTTTGATTAAAGCAAATTAAAGAATTAACAAAATAATAGTATAAACAGATAGAAAGTACATTTAAAATGAATTAGATGCAAAGAAGTTATATAATTATATACTTATACAGTGTACTACATTATACACTGCATGTGTTTTCTTTTATATATACAAAACATGTACAACTTTCAAAACCTTAAGTTATTCTTGTGATTTATATAAACTTTATGGTTCCTGGGTTCAGATTCGTTTAACTTTCCTGAGATATTATAAAATCTATAAAAGTGACATTATAAATTACGTATATACACTTTTTTTATTTACAATTCCAAATTTAATGCATTTGTTCAAACATGGTGTATTGTATGTAAAGAATTGTAAATGAGTGCATCTTTCATATCTTGCATGTTTTATTTACATGTTGTTAATTGTGGACACTGAATTTTCCTATAATTGCACTCCTTACGATTCGACAAATTAGTGCATACTAAACTTCAGATAAAAAAGTTTTGTACCCTGTTTTATAAAGCTGTGTCAGATATATTTATTTTAATCCTTGACTTAACACTTTTTAATTCTCTGAGGTTGATATTTACACATGGCCATTGAACTGACTTACAGGTCCTTGCTGTTTAATTTTTGCGAGATCGTGCCAGGAGAGATCTGAAATATTGGCCTGTAGAATGTTTTTCTATAAGCACGCCTGGGTCTCTATGTTTTCAAGGATGTTTGAATACCTTAAATTACGCATTGAAATTCATACTGAAATACCACTTCAATGTCGTTGGATATTTAAATACAGACGAGTGAAATTCAATTACCCGCGTAAGGATCTCTAAGTGAAGAGCAGTGGGGATTTAAATCACAGATAACGCTGTATTGAGAAGCGATAAATTTCTAGACTTTTCATTAATATGTATTTCAATTTCATGTCTCATACAATAATATTTCGACACTTAAATGTTCCATTTAAAATTAATGAACTATTTGACAGTATAAACAGTTTAAAGTAACTTTATTTTAAAGTGAAATTTAAGCAGCATTTGTATCTGTTTTACAAATAAATTAAAGAGACATGGACACAAGTTTTTTTTTTTTGAAAAAAATAGTTTTAATGTTTACAATTCCTAATTCGGGAAATCATTTGTGGCTTTACAAAACAGGGACGTAGTATCCGGGGGGCCAGGGGGGGGGGCCTGGCCCCCCCACTTTTTTCCCCAACATTACCTTTACTATAGTAAATGTTTATTGATAGGATGGTTGGCCCCCCACTTATAACCATAGTATAGTGATAGCAAGGATTGTAAGGAAAAAATTTGAAATGATGGTAAGTTGGCTTTGAAAAAGTTGGCCACTACCCCCCACCCCTACGAAATAGGATTTTCGAGTTTGGGCAAAGTAAAAAAAAATTTTCTCAGGTAGCCCCCCCCCCCACTTTCAAAAACGATGCTACGTGCCTGCAAAAGAGACACAGAACTTAAAATTATGAGGATGTTTACTCCTCCACGCACCTGATCCCACCTCCGATCTTTTGGAGGTCCGTGTTTGTTCTGTTTGTTCTGCTCCTATGTTGTATTGTTTTATAGACTTTTGATCTTGAATACAGTTCGTTATCTCCATATGTTTTAAAATGTAAACATGGCTCGTGACTTTTTTGTTTACATGTAGAAAACATATCATATTTTTAAGATCAGCAATTCACTTAAAAATGTCTAATCGTATTTAGAATTTACTTATTTCTTGACAAAATTTGCTTTAAATGCACATATATTAATAAATTTTACCTATGTAAACAAATTCATGGCACGAGCCTTCTTTATATAACAAAAGATTTGGAGCTCTGAATATGTCTTGTATCTCAACAACTAAAATTCAATTTTTTGATTATCATTAAAAATACCTTAGTTAAGTACTTGAAAACATAAAAAATGGAAAAAATAAATTTGAATTTTTTTAGCTGAAACTGTGTACGTCATGCCCCTTTAAAAGCAAGCAAAGAGAATTACATGCACTCAACCACTCTGCAATAGGTAAATGCGGAATCTGGCTTTAAATTATTTCAAACTACAGGGCCATATTCTTTATTTTTATAATTATTATTTATTATTTATTTTTCATTAAAGACTAAAATTTCTTGAAGTAAAATATTTGTACATAACAAAACACTAGTATATACACAAAAGATTTGAAGTAAGTTTTGTACACGTCCGTATTTGTCTGCAATACTTACTTGTTATTTCACTTAATGGAGAAAGGCTTAGGGTTCCTTGCAATAAATGTCATTTATTGGAAACTAGAAACACATATATAAATAATGTAGCGTTTTCATCTAGAAATTTAGCTGTCAGTTTCTCTCTGAATTCCAGATGCCTGTATTATAAATTCATGAGAACTTGAGTACATAATACCTTTATCTGTTACAAAAATCCTCTAAATAATTTGAAATTCCAAACCTTAATACTTCAAAATCATAGATATTTGTCATTTGCTATACAGATGTGTAAATGATAAAAGGTTTTAGATAATGTCCTTTTGTATGCCTTTTTGGAAATCGTATTAAATACCTGTTTTACCTTCGATTCCGTACCGACTGTCAGTTGATAACATCTTTCTTCCATACTTTCAGATGACGACGTAGACGATGGCGACGAGTGACGAGGAGATAGAGGAGGTGATAGATGACGCCTCCGTTGTCTCCGGAGACGACCCGACTTTGTTTGAAGAAGTCGATATCGAAGTTGCTTTTGAAGGGGACGTAGAAAACAGCGAAGATGAAAGCGCAGTGAGGACTAAGAAGAAAAAATTGACGTCACACACTCTAGCCGTGGATCGAAATGTTGATCAGAGTGAAGAAGAAGATAATATAGAAACCGAGAAAGATTCCCGACGTAACTCACGTAGAAAAGGGTCGGGTAAGAACGGAGACACGGATTTAACCGACGGTCAACAACAGGTAAGAAGATGACCATGTGTACAAGATAACCTTTCATCTTGTTCTGCTCAATGATAACTGATGGAGAGTAAAGAAAATACAGTATGACATATTTTAAGAATAAGTTTGGTTTCAAAACCCATGACTTGCATGTCTCTTGCAATGTTTCAAATGACTACCCACCAAACCAAGCCCTGATTAACTTCAATCTTATCTTGCAGACTATTTCATTATCTAACAAATATCATACTGCTTTGTCATTTACTTATTCAATCTATAATATTAATTAGATTTTAAATCCAATTAAAGTTCAAGATCTCACGTCCTTGAAATATAAAAGGTTGAGAAAAATTGTGCTTACAAATGCCAGCTGTCCAAAAGTGACAGGGCCATGCTATAAATTAAGCATTTCTTTAAAGTTGAGACAGTCGATAGAAAACCAGGAGAAGCGGAATTAAAATGATACATCTTCCTGTTCTTTTACAGAGCAACAAAGAAAGTGAAGAAGTTTCTTCCAATTTGGTGAATGAGGATAAATTAGAGAAACCTGCTGAAAACAAAGTTCGCATCATCATAGAGCAGTGCGAGACGCCAGCGAAGGAAGATGATGACGAAGGCAAGACAAATGACTTACCCAGAGAGGAAAAAGCTAAAGTTGAACAGCCGAAAGTGAAATGGCATCAGAGATATGCCCAGCAGAAAAGGAGAAAGTGGATATGGCCTCGAAAAAAGAGAGAAGACAACGAAGAGGAAGAAGAGGGGTGTGTGGATGATAGGGAAGACGGAGGAGTAAATCAGGCGGGGGTGAAGAGAGAGGACGAGGAGGCAAAGGTAGAGGAAATTAGAGGAGTAAGACAGGCCAAGAAAGAGGAGGCAGAGGAAGAAGAAGAGGAAGACACAGAGATGACTCAGGAGGAGAAAGAGGTGAGATCTCGTCAAGGTGTGTTACAGAGTATTCGTAGCAGAAGCAGAGTAAAAAGAATGGGAGTGATAATGAGGTGTTGTGTTAACTCATTTAGTATATATACAAAATACTAGTACACAAAAATCCAAATGTCAAAATGAAATGTGAATGCTAGATATTGTCCATACATAAAAACAAACCTGGTCAATATGAGTATAGTTAATAATGAAGTTCAACTAGTTATTACCATAAGTATCAATTGTGATTAGCAGAAACCTATCCTAATAATAGTTTTTTTCTTTGTTTTTACAATGCCCTGACAATTCCATTTATTTTCAAAGGACATGTATAATGCTGTCAGGAATGGCGAATACCTCCTCTTCCAAGATCTGCTGGACAAGAAGAACGCCGATATTAACATGCTCTGGGTGAGAGGCCTATTTCACAAGTTTTTCTCTCTAAATCACACGAATCGCAAAGTTCGTTCAAATGTTTTTCTTTCTGTTATTGAGTTTTTCCAACAACTGCTATTATTCGAATTTGCTGTTTCAGTACAGAGAAAATTTGCTGATGGTAGCGATGCGCGCGCAGCAGATAGAAATGGTAGAATTCTTAATTGACAATGGCATTGACTACAACTACGAGACAACACTTTGGGTAAGTTGTTTCAACAACAGACTGAATCTTTTCAAACATAAGAGCGGCCTAGTCCCCTAAATACTTGATCACTTTTTTTACTCGGGAATTTTAGTGTAAATTTTATTTATGTCATTATTGTTATAGTGTTATACTAATTCTCATCATATTTATAGGATTTGAAAGATCGAGAGAAGACGGGTAAACGCTTCTTTCAGTACAAACTGTCGTGTCGACAAATGGCTTATGAACTGGATCTTCTGAACGTAGTTGAAATGATTGACGTTAAAAACAACCAAATTCACAAGTACTACAAAGTAACGCATCGTTTACCACGCATGCGCCGTCCTCCTGCTCCCACGCCGCCATGTTTGATGTACAGTGACGAGGATGAGGAGGATGAGGCGGAACTTTTGGCGGGAGGAGATAGCGATCTGTTATCGAGTACTTCCCAGCTGGCGGAAACTAGCGAATCCAAAACAGAGCAAGGTCAATCAAAAACGGAGGTCAATGAAGACAAAAGTGCAGAGAGGAGGGGTGAACTTACGGAAGAGCGAGTTGCTGAATTGGAAATCACGGATGACGTATACGAGATGACCTCCCCTTGTCCTAACAGTGTGGTATTCAACAAATACGAATTAGTCGAGGAAAGACCTGGCCTTCTCCGACGCGGAACGAAGTCATCAATTGGACTACAACAATACAATGACATCAAATACAGACGTCGTGCTTATTCGAAAAGTGCGCACGCCACAAGTGTTGTTGATACAGTAGGGAGTTATGCTTGGGAAAGCAGACGTTGGCGACCACTCAAAAGTGCTTCTGTTGATAAACAGTCGGAGCAGAGCATTCCTTTCGTTGCCCGGATGTCTTCTTGTCAAGCACACGCGAAATCACAGACTTCACATTCGACTTCACAACCCTCACGAAAACAGAGATATTCTCGGCCTAGGCCTCTATCCTCGCCAGCCTCGTTTTCCGTAGAAATTCAAAACATCTTGGGACAGAGTCGTTTGCTTCGGACAGAACCAGCTCTACCGTATATCAAACCTCCAAACCGAAGCTCGCGATCACAGTCTGCTAAAGCAATAACTCCATGGTGTCACAGTAATTCAGCTGCTGTTTTTGAACGATTATCAAACACCAAAATACATAATAAGATACAAAATCCCAGATTTTCTGTTAACAGACAAATAAGTTTACGGACGAATCGCTAAATGTATAAATGCATTATCTAAAAATGTGTACCCTTGAAATCTTGATTTTGAGGGATGAATGATTACTTTTGTATACTTCTGCCTTTTCTGTTGTGATTTTGTATGTATGGCGATATCATTCAAAGTGATTAATACGCTATGTAAAATATTATAATTTTTCACGGTGCTACTTAAGCTATTAATCCAGAGCTATATTTGATTAATATTATGCACATGTTTTGTAGAACAATAAAAGTACTTATTATTAAAAAAAACATTAAGTGTTCACAAAACCAGATTGAATATACCTAATTTTTTTTTTAATTTTAATGATGTATGCTGTAAAACTCATCGATTCATGTTCATGCAGAGTTGTCATAATTTAACCCTGTCATATTTTGGACATTTTTTAACTGAGCAATCCAGTTGTTGAAGACTTTTCTTTTGTTAGATGATGAACATTTCAACGATAATTATTAAAACCTACAAATACTCGTATCTTCGCAAAATCCTTACGCTAAGACAAAGATGTAAGGAGTCAACAGTTGATGTTAAAAAAGACTTATTCTTGTGCCGAACATCTGATATATGATGTATGATATGTCTCATATAGATTTAAAGCCTTAACAGAGAAAACTCTTCTTATATGTTCAATACCGTCTGTTGAAACATAAAAGCAAAATCTCCTTTTGTATATTACTGAAGATACTTCATAAAAACAAATTATTCTTTAAAAAAAATTATACAAAAAACAAAAAAATGCTTGAATTGATACATGTTTATAGTTTTGGACTTACTTTGTTTGAAAATTATGTTTATAATAAATAATTCAAAATTCTAAATATGTGGTCAAATCTACTCTCTAGTTAGTAGTTCTTGGAACAGAACATAATATGATCATATGAACAACCAACTTCTTTACCCGATGAACAGTAAAAAGTATCATTATAACTGTAAAATAGCTTAACTGAAATTAGAAGAGAAATTCTCAAAATGATATGAAAAGTAAATGAGTACGATTTCTGTACAGTATGCCTATCTTCTTTTATTAAGTGTTCGAATCCCACTGTGGGACATGGAGACAGGTCCTAGGGATGAGACCGAGGCACCGTGTTGCCGTAGGTGCCGGCACGAAATAAGTCCCTCACTGCCCAATGTCCATAAGTAGTGATATTATGCAAGGACTTTAAGGAAATATTTGGAAATAACTAATAATATTCAAGCTCAGAAGTCCATTAGAACAATTCAAATCAAGAGAAATGCAAACTCACGGCCATTTAAACATCAGAGGTGGGATCAGGTGCCATGGAAGAGTGAGCATCCCTTGCTGACCGGTCACATCTGTTTGCTCTTTGTGGGGAAAACGGGAAATCCATCGAAAAATCATTGAGTAAATAATGACTAAACAATTAGTATGAAAAAACGTCAGCCAGTATTTGACTTGGTTGTGATATTTACCATAGAGCTAACGAATTGATGACTTTAATTTTAATGGTTGATATTCTTGTTCATCAACTTGTTTATTAATAACTTTCCTTGTTTTAGAAATTGTTCATACACAGAACATTTTTTGGGTATCGAATCAACTATAAGATACATGTAGGCCTATATCAACCTGTAAGCACATGAAAAGCGTTTATTGCTGCATAAGTGAGAGAAGTTGGCAATTGAGAATTTATCACGTTTATCAGAAAGCTTTGCTGATAAATCATAATCAACTTAATAATCAACTTTTTCCATTATAATATTTAAATGTGAAATAGATGTCTGAGACTTTGTATTATATTTTATTTTACACACATGAATTTCTACAAGTAAACGAAATGGATGGCTGTATTTACAATAAATACTGATACACTTTAACACAGGCGTTTTCTTCTTCTACCAGCCACAGGTTGTCGTGCGTGTCCACAGAAATTCCGTGTGGAAGTGATATCCCATCATCCTCTGTTAGGATGTAAGACAGGAAGTTCCCGTCCTGGCTGATCAGGTGTACAGCGTTATTGGCGTTGTCTGCAATAAGTATGTGACCCAGACTGTCAGTGGCTACACCATGCGGTTGAAATCCCTCTTTTAATGTCCCAGTTGCATTCCCGTCATACCTGAACCTTAAATATCCAGACTTGTTCAAGACAACCACGTTATTATTCATTAAGTTCAAATCAGAAATACAAATGTCTTCGTTCACATTTTCACAAATAAACCTTGGATGAATAAAAAGTCTCTCCCCGGTCTTATCTGTCTCGAATTCCTGGATCTTCGTCCCAGTTTTGCTGTACTTGACCATTCTCGCGGCATTAAACAAGCCCATACAGACCAAGAAATCACCTGATCTTATACAACACAGTCCTCTAGGACCATACTCAGCATTTATAAGTTTTGTTTTCTCTTTATTGAGTGACACTCTATAGATAACTTTATCGCTACCGTCAGAATAAATCAAACTTCCGTCCTGCATTACCCCCAGACCCCATGGTTTACTGTCAGTACAGATGCTATCCAGCTCTGTCCCTGACCTGTCTATCAGTAGTATCCCAGGACCATCACCACTGATGAACGCTGATCTGTCTCCACGGCAAGTCACGTACAATAAGTTTTCTTTTTCAGTTTTCGCTTCGCTAATTTTTACTGAAAAACCCAAAATACTTTTGATGGATAGCGTTTTGTTTGCAGAGGAAGTCTGCTGTGTATCGTCACATTTTCTTAAATGACTGTCAAGTCTGCCATGATCCGTGGTCAATTTCCCAAACTGCTGCTCATTTTGAGATTTGTTAAATTGACCGGCTGTGAACGAAGGCAAAACAATGTCTAACTTCTCTGGAATTTTTAATTTATTAAAAATATTTGGATTTTCTTTTCGGTACAAAATAAGGTCCACGGGATTGTTTGACTCCATGAGACTTTCCAATTTTTCTATCAAATCATCTATGTTTTCCTCAAATTTCTTAACTTCCATTTTCTGCAGAGAAATGACCTCTGATTGTTTTCTCTCATCTTCTTCAGAATCATTAAAACTTTTTTCTATGATGGCATTGATATGGCTTATAAAATTCTCAGCTTGTGTTTTCATGCTTTTTCTCACAATTTTATGGCTCGTTCCTATTTCATTTTCTTCTTTCTTAAAATCAAGTAGTCTATGGGTAAATTCAGATTTCCACATCGTTTTCATTTTAGACAATTTTTCTGCGGTACCATTCTTTTGTTTGTCATAAAGTTCTTGTATCTTCCCGATAGCGTGTTTGTTATGTACTTCCTGAATGCACGATATACACACTGGGACTTGGCAATCTTCACAGCAAGCCTCGTACGTTTTAGTTGGGTGTATGTCACACATTTTGATCTGATTGGCTGGATGAAGTCTCTCAGACAGACGAACGATGGTGTGTCCGGAGGGAACTTTGCTTTTAAGATAAGACTCTACATCGAGGACAGAGTTCATCTCCACACGGAACACAGTGGAAGACAGCGGGCTCGTCCTCGCAGTATTGACATCGAATGATGTCCTGGGCTTGGAGATTTGTCATTTTTAACTGAAATATTATGCATGTATTGCTTATAATTAACATTACTAATTCTTTCCACAGGTCAAATTAATAATCATTTTTTTTTATTAGAGAAAACCACCAAATGTTTGAGATGTTTTACATTTTAAATTTTGAACTTAGCCGATTCTTTATTTTCGAAATTTATTAGAAATCTAAAATTTAAAAGTTCTACATATATATACTCTTAACATTTCTTTTAAAAATTAAAAAAAGGGAATGAAATAAAAAGCAAACAATCTCAAAAGTCCAATTTAATTAAAAGAACAAAAATTCAGACCTAAGCAAACAGGGACCCGATCCCTTAATGAATAGTGACTAAATTAGAAAATTCTCCAAACATTACAAAAACTGATCTTTGAAACATCAAATTTTGGATGAGTTGATATATATATATTAATATATAAATAAATCAGTACTAAAAGACGAACTCAATTTCTTAAATCTTTCAATTCAACCCTCACTCTGCAAATGTAAAGTTAGCAATAATAATAAAACTGCAAATAAAAAAAACATTAAAATCTTTGATACAGAATTAGTTGTTTTTTTTTTATCGAAATTTGAAGTTTATGGTAAATAGAAAGAGATATACAAAAAACAGACAAAACTTTAACATAAAAAAAAACTTTCATTTAATATGCCCTCTTAATTTGTTTTATTCTTATTCTTGATATCACATGTATATTAATCTACAATGTACATGAAATTCATCTACTTATCAATTTATTAACAAAAACGCTTAATTTAATGATTGTAAGTGTTGTTTGACACAATAACGTTCTACATGAACAACATATCATATATTTATAAGTATTAAGTATACCTGTATGTCCTATCAGAACTTATACATATCTTTTTTTAAGTGGTAAACACATGTACGTACATGAAAGCTCTATAAGTTGTCTGTCTCTTGAAGGTGCTAAACTTCATTACACTACCACTTATAAATCAAATAGTTAAAAACTTTTTACATGTAGCAAGGAAATAAATTTCAATACTAGAAAATGTAACTTAATTTTGAATTATTTATGAAGTTGTCGATTTGGGAGTGCTTACTACTCCATGGTACCTTATCCCATATTTGTTGTATAAGGTCTATATGTTTAACTTAGCTCTTCTCCATTTGTATTGTTTTAATGGTCTTTTGAGATAGATTACCACTTGTTATCTTTATTTTTCATTATACAGACAATGAAAATTCACACAATTTTTAACGCACAACATTTTCATACAAATAACAGAATGATATAACAATCAATTTACATTGTCTTTACAAGAAAACGTAAACTCACCTTGCAGACTTAAACCAAGATTGACATAGAGTAGTTGTACTGGGGATGTAGTAGGCGGATGTACGTGCAACTAGCGGTGGTCCATGTGCAGCGATTACCTAATTTTTTCTGATTAAATTGATTTATCACAAGGATAAGAAAAATTGATAAGTAATTAAGTAGGTTGACAAAGATGTTTGTATTTAGATAACGAACGTTAATAGTATTCAAGATCAAAAGTCCAATAAACAAAACAAAATGGGAGTAGAGCAAACATGAACCTCCAAAGCATCAGAAATGGGATCAAGTGTCATGGAGGAGTGGGCATTCTCTGCTGACCGGTCACACCCGCCGTGTGCTTCTTGTCATGACCAGGAAATATCGGAAAAACTAACTCAGTGTGTTTATAAGGCCCTACATTATATACGAAAAACGTCAGTCAGCATTTGACTCAATGATAAATTGGATTTGCTTTCAATGTCATTGAATCGACCAAAGAACTTGAAGTGATTACTTTACATAAGACTGCTGATATCCTTGCTTCATTGACTTGTTTGTCAATAACTACCTCGTTTATAAATAAAAATTATACGTAGAACGTAGCTCTTGCATGTCGAATCAACTGATAATTATAAATCCTGTATGTAGGTGACAAAGGTACTAGACGGGTTTATTGCTGCATAAAAAATGGAAGTTGGTGGTAGAAAATTAAAAGTAATCTCGTTTGTCATAATGCGTGGTTATCTAAGAAATAAGGTCCGCGTTTAAGTGAATGTTGCAGAATATCCTAAAATATCGAGAAATATTGTTTGAAAGATAAAAGCCGAGGCTTTTCTACTTACAGCTGTAATAACGCTGTTCCATTTAGCACAAGGGTGTAACTTTGTTTGTTTACCTGTGAATAGAGTGCAAACGATTTGAGCTTTCGCTGCATTAAAATCAGCATTTTATTAATGATAAATCTCTTTGTAACTTATATAAATTATTTTTTTGAATATACGATAACAAAATCAGATTCCTATTTTACCGCTTTATTACTAAAATCACGGAGTTAAAATCTGGCATGGGGAGGTCCGGGGAACAGCACTGCTTAGCTTTAGAAACCCACATTCATCAGCTACTTTTTGCAATATACAGTGTTTAAATTGCAAAGATGACACATCTGTGTGCTCTAAATAAGTATTTCATTCTTAAGTCAAATGTACATTTCAACTGTACATGTTTCATACATGTTTCTGATCTGATAATGTTTTAATGACGTTCGTGTTTTATTGAAGAATAGTGTTCGCGCCATATCTTTGATCTCGGTAATAATCGCAGTAGAATAGATGATCATAATTTTAAAAAAAATAATAACCAGATGTGTCAGACTATGTGGCATCCTTTATTTCAAGCCCAATGTTATATACCGTATCGACATATAGGAATGGAAATGGCAAAAAAATCGTTTATATATAATTCTACCACGGTTATTGAAATCTTCAAAGGAAGCCGCGGGACATTATTCTCCAATAGACCACGAACGTCATCAAAAAATTATCAGATCAGAAACACGTATCAAATCTGAACAATTCAAATGCATGTTTGGCTGTAGAATGAAATACTTGATTAGACCGCATCGATGTGTCGTCTTTTGCAGTATAAACACTGTAAATTGCATCAAGTTGCTGATGAATGTCGGTTTTTATAGCTAAGCGGGGCTATTCCACGGACCTCCCTACACATTAAACAACGTGATTTTAGCAGTAAAACAAGAACATGATTTTGTTTTTGTATATTCATTTTAACTGATCAATACATATTAGGAACAAATTTGTAATTAAACAAGACTGTTTTTAATGCAAGGAAAGCTCAAATATCTGCATTCCATATAAAGGTTAGTCAACAAAATTTCTCTCTGGTGTTAAATAGAACAGCGTAATCGAGACATGGTGACCTAATTCGTTTCTCTATAGAGGAAACAATCGGCCGTATTTATCGTCCTAGGTAGAATAGAAATAAAGTCCTTGTTGTCGTGAATGATGCAGAATAACCTCCTCGGTCTCGAAATGTTGTTTGAAATATAAAAGCCTCGGCTTCTATATTTCAAACAACATTTTTCGACCTCGGAGGTTATTCTGCAACATTCGCGAAAACGCGGACTTTATTTCTTAAATATATCGAGTTGAAGTCTACTGAAAGTGTTTTCCTTTCACATAGGCGATTCCTTAAGCAATTCAATGTGAAATTAATGGTTAAAGAATATTTATGTCTAAATTCTTAAAATTCATAGATTCATGAAATCTTTGGCCCGTGTTTGAAAAATTTTACAACTCGTCTAAGATTGAATGTTGACAGACCACTTTTATTCTTGGGTCGTCATTTTTCCAATAGTTTTTTTATCTCTCAACAAATTACTTTTTAATTCGTTCAAGAAGGGCTCAAAGCAAGTGAGGCAAGATTAAAGGAGAGATATAGGTACTTTGTCATATATTTTGTTACATTGTTTTTTGAGCTTAATTTCATTTTTCTTTCCTTAAAAAACATTTTCTGTAGTATTTGAAAACAATAATTGAAATACAGACATAAATGTTCCAAAATATGATAAAACCTGATAAAACTTGACACAGACATTGATGAGTTCTACCATCCACAGATTGTCGAAAGCGTCCACAGTGATATCCCATCATCCTCTGTCAGGGTGTAAGACAGTAAGTCCCCGTCCTGGCTGATCAGGCGTTCGGCGTAATTGTCTCTGTCTACTGTTTTTATCACAAGATATTTTGTATAGTATATGTAGTGATGTATAAATATGAATAACATATCGAAAACGAAGGCCAAAAGTTATGACAGATACTGGTACAGTTTGGCACAGGCTTTGTATTGTTCTACCATCCACAGGTTTTCAGCCGTGTCCACAGATATTCTGTGTGGAAGTGATATCCCATCATTCTCTGTCAGGATGTAAGACAGGAAGTCCCCATCCTGGCTGATAAGGTGTACAGCGTTATTGGCGTTGTCTGCTATAAGGATTTGACCAAGACTGTCGGTAGCTAAGCCAAGCGGTTTAAATTCCTTTTCTGATGTCTTAAGTTGCATATTACCGTAATATTTGAACAGAAGCTCTCCTGATCTGTTCAGAACGACAACTTTCGAGTTCTTGGTCTCAATATCAGAAATACAGATATCGCCATTCACATTCTCACACACAAAGTATGGATTTACAAAAAGTCGCTTCCCATTCTGGTCCTCTAGGAACACTTGAACTATTTCCCCAATGCTACTGTACTTGACCACTCTGCCTGACAGTGAATATTTATAATCACCCATACAGACCAGGATATCGCCTGATCTAGAACAACACAGTCCTCTTGGATAATACATAGTATTTATCAATTTTGCTTTCTTTTTATCGATCGACATTCTGTAGATAGCCTTATTATCAAAATCAGAGTAAATCAGACTTTTATCCTGCATCACAGCCAGACCAAATGGTGGTTTTTCAGTGCTTATGCTATCCAGTTCTATTCCTGAACTGTCTATTATTAGTATTTTTGACTCTAGACCACTGATGTATGCTGATTGGTCATCACGACATCTCACGTGCAATAGCTTCTCTCTTTTAGTTTTTAATTCATTTGTCTTTATCGAACGCTCCAATACTTTTTTGAAAGTTGGCAGTTTAAGCTCTGAGGTATCGTCCAATGATTTTATGTGGCAAATGTGACCTGAGATGAATTTACCAAATTGATGTTCATTTTCGGATTTGTTGAATTTGCCGGCTGTAAACAAAGGCTTGGTAATGTTTACTTTTTCTGGAAAAGTTAATTCCCTAAAAGTGTGCGGATTGTCTTTAAGGTACAACAGAAATTCGGCAGGATGGTTTGTCTTAGTAAGCGCTTCGAATTTCCCTATCAATTGATCCAAGCTTTGATCAAATCTCTCGTTTTCTTCTTTATGCTGAAATACTTCCTCAGATTTCCTTTTCTCGTCTTCTTCCGATCATGCAAAGCTTCTTTCAAAATGGATATGATGTGATTTATAAAATCCTGACCTTGCTTTCTCATTTTCTCTCTTATACTTTCCTGACAAGTCTTAACTTCCTTTTCTCCCTCATCGAGATCTTTTACTCTCTGAATGATCTCCGACTTCAGTTGTGTCTTTATCTTAGACAATTCCTCAGCAATTTCGGCCTTTTGTTTCTCGTAAAGATCTTGTATTTTCCCGATAGCGTGTTCGCCGTGTATTTCCTGAATGCACACAATACACACCGGGACTTGGCAATCTTTACAAGCCTCGTACGATTTTGATGAGTGGACGTCACACATTTTGACCCGACTCTTTGCTTGAAATTTCTTGGAGAGGCGGAAAATCTTGTGTCCAGAGGGAACTTTACTTTTAAGATGTAAGACTTTACATCCAGTACAAAGGTCATCTCCGCAAGGAGCACAATGAAGGACAGCCGGCTCCTCCTCACAGTATCTACATCGAACTATATCCTGGGCTTGTGGACTTGCCATTTCTAACTGAAATATCACGAATTTCTATTATGAATACATGTATAATGATTTGTTTGTGTAAAACTTACGATTCAAGTTTCTAAAAGTTTTCAAGAAATCAAAATTGTCAACATTTTGTTTTTCAAAATTCCAAACACATTCTGAGAAAATTGAATCTGACTTTAAATAAAGCAAAAAAACAAAAAACAAAAAACAATCAGGATTTTAAGACTGATTTGTAATTCAACCTTTGACCTTTTCGAGCTATTGATTAGAATGAAACATTCGAGATCAAAAGTCCATACAACAATACGAGATAGGAGCAAAGAAGACACTGACATCAAAAACATATCAGAGGTGGGATCAGGTGCCATAGAGAAGTAACCACCTCTGTTGACTGGTCAAACCCGCTTTGTGAACCTTGTCATGATCGGGAAATAACGGGGGGAAGCTGTCGTCAATTCAGTGTAAAAATAATTGACCAACAATTAGTATTGAAAAGGTCAGTCAGAATTTTACTCAATTATAAAATGTATTTGCTGATAAAGTCATTGTATCAAACTTATGAAGTGATGACTTTCAACGAAATTGCTGAAATTCTTGGTTCATCAACTTGTTTCTCAATATTGTACCTCGTTTAAGAAATTGTTCTTACGTAGAGCATATATCCAATCCTCGTCGAAGAAGGACAACTCATTATTTTATACTTTACTTTAAAACATCTTTTAATAAATCTTGACATTGATTTTTTTCATGGAACAATTTTTATTGTACACCTCTCAATGTAATTTAAAATTTGTTTTTAGTTTTTATGAACGGAATTGATAAAAGGTTGATATATTATACAAAACAGAAAAAAAAGAGTCACTTGTTGTGACCTTTATTTTGACATTTAGATATATCGACGAGGTATTGTTAATTAACCATAGGGTATTTCTATTCTTATGTAGAAACGATATATCAAAGTCAGCCTGAGATAAAAGATACCACAGAGTATGACACATCTGTTTCATATTAATTTGGATATCTTACTTGAAACAGACTTTAATGGTAATCCCTGGCCATGCAACAACCAAGCTATATAATAATGTTCATGTATAGCACAAAAATTTTTAATTGTTACAAAAAGCACAGTACAAAATTTATATCTCTCTGTTTAAAAAATATAATGAAAAGCATGCTCTTACACGTAATTTTTTTTCTAAAGCGAGGTAAATTATTGACAAACAAGTAAATGAAACAAGAATACCGGCAGTTTCGTTTGAAGTCATTTATATGATAATTATATTTTTTAATATGAGACTTTATCTTTAAAACAAGGTAAATCTCTTCTATTTTCGAAGAAACGCAGTAGTTTATCACTTAGATTAAAGGACGTTTATTCTTTTTATCTGTAAAGAATTCACGAGTATGCCTGTACAGACCTAACTCTGAGTTAGTAATACCCAGGAGGATAAGTTATCTTTTCTGTGTCAGTTAGATTAATATATATGAATTATTTGTATGTCTATAACATTTACAGCGATAAACACAAAATGCGTTTTTCCTTAGAAAAGCAGTTTGTACACATGCACTGCACATTCATGTCTTCTTTTTTTTTTTAAAGAAAACTTAGATTTATACGGTATATATTTTACCTATGTTGCATTTCGTATTACTAGTAATTATGGAAGGAATGAATGTTTACCACAAAAAATGAATAAAAGTTACTTTTTTACATTTGAAATCAAATATATTCGACTTAATAACTCTCTTTGAAGAATATACATGAGTGTGTTGCATAGTTATAACACATCCAAGTAGAATTGTTACCTTCTTCAAAAATCTTCAAGATTTTCCTGTGGTGAGTGCTGTATGTGCTTCTTAGCACTTACAATGCAATATTAGGTCGACTAAAGATTATATAATATATGTAAACATTTGCAGACTTGAACTTCTTTACAAGTGGGGGCGTCACCATATACTGATACATATTATTGAATTATGACTTTAAATACACTCGTTCAGGACGAAAGTATACGTATCAATCATCTGTAAGCATCAAATCAGTCATTTTAAAAAAATTAAATAATACCATTAGTAGGGTTAGGGTTAGAATCAAATAATCAGGGAATCAAGAAAAACATTTTTAAAAAACACGTCTATATATGCACACAACATACAACATTGCATTTATACAATATAAAGTAACTCAATATTACGTTTTTAATTTACTGAAAAGCAAACTTACTTCGTAACCTTTTTCAGAAACTGAGAAGAAGGACTCGCTGAGAAGTTGATGGGGCTGCTGCGCGCGCAGCTTCAATATATATTAGTCGAGATAACCTCATTTGTTCTCATATAATCGTATGTTTATATAAGCATCAGATTAAAAAGAATTTTGAAGTTTTGCAGGAAAAACATAAATACTGTCGAAAGGCCAGAGATTAGTAAAGATATATGCATGTATGCATATATATTATATTAATTAATTGGTGGTTATATTAATGGCAATAAATTATGTTCATGCATATCACAAAAATTTTAAGTTGTTACAAAAAGCACATTAGGCTTACTGTGTATGTTTAAAAAATATAATGAAAAGCATTCTTATAGCATTACAGAAACTTTATATAAGTTCACTGTAAAAAATGTGTTTAGATGATAGACACTTTCCTAAGCACATTCTTGTAACACTTTTTTTATTGCATTGAAATTCTAAACACGTTGAATTTCATCATGTGTAACGGAAAGTGTTTAGAGCCTAAATACTTAGATGTTTAGACTCTAAACACTTTACAAAACAGGTTATGAAACATGTTTACAAATTAAACGCTTGGATGTTTTCATTGTCTTCCTGCAAGATAACTGAAAATATAACGATTAATTATTTACATTTTAAATTTTATTCAAAGGATTTATTATGAACAATTCTAAATTAGATATACATATATATTTTTTGTTACACGCTGGTTTTAATTAGCTTAGCAAGAAGTCTTTCCTCGTGTCTGTATCAAGTTCCAGAAATTCTTTCACTGAGCAACACATGCACAATTTGTTTTCATCCGTGAACATCAGTAAGTAGTCCACTTCCATACAATAAGAAATATTTGGGTTGTTTAAAGTTATAACGAACAGCAGACTTAACAAAATTCAGTTTCCTCTAGAAAGTAAGAAGTGTTGAAAAATGTCAGAACGACGGCATGTCAGTGTGGACTTGGAGATGGCAGCAGTTCCTCTAATACGTGTATATTTGCTTTTAAGTTCTATGTGGACCATATCCTGCAAGAAAGATATTCAAATTGTATCAAATTATGCTCCTCACTGGCTGGAGTTGCATGGATTTTTTTATATATTAGATCATGATTCCTTTCGGTTATATTTTGCATTCGTGAAATCTAGAAAGGAGTACATTATAGAATGTCATTAATAATATCTATATCGGTATCAGTACTGCATGTATAGTGGTTAAATGAGGTTCAATAGATAGTTTTCAGTAGACCCAAATTAAAAAGAGTTATTTCCCTTCGGCCGCCATCTTGTGGGTCAACATGTTCATATTCCTTCATAATTCAACCAACTTTAACTTTTTATACTGGCTATTGTGGGCTGGGAAGCATTGTTTTTCTGACAATTATATATTTTTAGAGCCTCCTTTATTTCATAATGTTTACTCTATAACGATTTTTCCCACAATGTTTCTGCTACACCCTCTTATATTTTGTAGGACAAAGAGGGAAAATTACCTGGTTGACCCCCAAGATGGCGGCCAACGGGAAATAACTCTTGTTAATATGGGTCTACTGAAAACTATCTATAAAAGTAGCACAAGAATGGCTATCAAACATTTGAATAAATGCATACAACTTCAGCCAGTGAGGAGTATATTTATACCCCCCGCTTGAAAAGCGGGAGGGTATATAGTGATCGGGATTTTCGTCCGTCCGTCTGTCTGTTTAAATCTGATAAAATTTAAATTTCTTTCTTACAGGATCGACAGATCAAACTTAACAGCAAAATAAAACACGTATATGTATCAGAAGAGCTGCTGTCATCTCCAAGTCCACAATGTCATGCCATCGTTCTTACTATTTTTCAGCACTTCTTACTTTTTAGAGGAAACTGAATTTGGTGAAGTCTGCTGTTTGTTATAGTTTTGAACAACCCAAAAACATTCTTAAAGTATGGAAGTGGATTACTTACTGACGGTCACGATTGAAAACAAATTATGCGTGTGTTGCTCAGTGAAAGAATTGCTGGAAGTTAAACTTGATACAGACATGAGGAATAACTGCTTGCTAAGCTGATAAAAATTAAAACCTGCGTGTAAAAATATATGTATTTAAACATATATGTATATTTAATTTAAAGCAATATGAGCTGCATTTTTGAGAATTTTATTTTGCTGGTAAAATGTGTTGTTATGATTAGTTTGTACATAATTTAAATCCTTATGATCAATAAGACCAAAATAAAGTGTAAAAAATTTTCATCAGAACTATTTCTGTACGATCGAATATACAGTGTTATATAAGATATCATTATTGTACAGGACGACAATGATGCAAATTTGCTTCAATCGAAGCTTATACAAGTTCTTCCATCGCACATATGAACAACAGAAGTTCATAAATGTTCTATTTTTCTGTCATTGAAACAGTTAATTACAAATTTGAAAACCATTTTTCGATGTCAAATATGCAGCTCATATTGCTTTAAAATTCTTTATAATAAATCCATGTTTGAATGTTCATTGAATAAAATTTAAAAATAATGTGAACAATTGTTATATTTTCAGTTTTCTTGCTGGAAGACAATGAAAACATTCAAGTGTTTAATTTGTAAACATGTATCATAACATGTTTTGTAAAGTGTTTAAAGTCTAAACATGTAAGTGTTTAGGTTCTAAACACTTTCAATTACACGTAATGAAATTCAATGTGTTTAGAATTTCAATGCATGAAAAAGTGTGACAAGAATGTGCTTAGGAAAGTGTCTATCATCTAAACACATTTTTTACAGTATATACATTTTTTACAGTAGATGTAGCCATTTTGAAGGAATGCAAAAATCCAGAGAAATCTTCAGTTACCAACTTACTAAATAGTATAATATCTTGATGATATATGTGACTAAGTCAAAGATGTACGTGTTGTAGATCGTATGATCGTGTGTACATTTTTGTGATATTTATTATAATGAAATGATGTGCATTCCTTTTCGTAACTATTTGTTACTTATTCATATTCTTGGTGTTTGATTACATTTTTTCTGTTAAATATGACCTTTATAAATTAAAAGTACATTTTTTTATAAACATTTTCAATCAGAAAGTAACCCCAAACAGTCATTTTAATTAAATCCCGTGTAAGTGCAAAAATGTCAAGAATATAAGCATCGGTAAATAGCCTATCACTCATTAGTTAGAGGCGAAAGGTATATATTTTAATCACTTTTTGTAATCATTTGGGTATGTTCTTCATCATATTAAATATTTTAAAAACATTGTGACAAAGACTTCTGAAAAATACAAATGTAAGTAGGAAAATTGACTAAAATAATAGACTTCATTTGCTTATATATTTTTTTTACTGTGGACTTATCTTTTATGTCAATGTGAATGAAAAAGAAATTATTCTTAATAAATATTGCTTAATTTTGTTCAGTTGATAAAGTTTATAAACGACGATGTTTTAAGATGTATTTTTGTGATTTTTCATATTTTCTTCTGGACAAGTACTCCTAAAAATAACTGAAAATGTGCAGTCACTGTATGTAATAACCATACCAAGTTTCACAGGCTGTACTTAATTTAAAAACAAGGAAACATATCATGAGCTTTTAACTGATTGATAAGCAAGTACTAATTTTTCATTTTGAAAAGTTTGAAAATCTTGTGACAAAGACTTTTCCGACATAGCTATAGGTTCTACTTTAAGTTATTTTAATATGCGCCATATATTTAAATTTTTCTTATTTTTACACATGATAAAGAAGTGCATATAGAGATACAAAATGATATATAAACAAAAAAGTTTTGACCTTTCAGTAAGAGAGTAAAAACACTTTCTACGGATTTTTGGCTCATATCTGTACTTATAGAGTTGAAGCTTTTAAAAGCTGGCATATTTGTTTGTTGCGTAAAAATTATAACTAATTTCATTAATTGTTCTATAATAATTTTGAGAGGCTGAAAAGAAGATATTTTCATACGCTGTCATTCCACCAAAAATATAGTTCGTGCTAGTTTTCGAACACAATTGACCATTTCTATTTAAAGTTGTACAATTGTGATGAGGAAAGAAAGAAATGGTCTTTTAAATCTCTTTCACCTAAACATATAAGACATATAAGTAAATATACTGTCGTAATGGTCGACGAATTACCTGACAAATCCCTCCAGATTAGGTCAATAAGACAGGCTATGTCTAGCAGACGTCTGGCAAGATGGAGGTCAGGGAGATCAATGTTAGTCGAGATAGGTCGTACACGGATGAGTCGGGCTGTGGTACCACACTCCTCCCCTCCTTGTAGAGCCAAGGGTCCATTGGCGAATTTTATCAATCAGTAATTATATTTGAAAAATCCACCCCCAATATTGTACAAAATCATCTAAATGTAAACTTGTGCAAAAGTACAAAAAATATACATGCAAATACAACCCAATTATGACTACTTTTCAACAAAGTACCGGTGAGAGACATAATCCCTTCACATATACATGTTGTAAGAAAAATGTAGAGTAATCATGAAAAATATACAATGCGTTCATACACTTGCATAACAAAAATTACTTTTTCTGAAGTAATCAAAATATACATATATAGAAAATACACTATATAATCGATAAACATGATGAGAGAAAAAAAAATTATAATCTGTAGAACTGCCTGGCATTGTTGTTACATGTCTCCAGGATAAATGAAACTGGTGTGTTGCGGATAGAAGCAACCTGTGCAGCAAGAGATGCTAGGTTCCAGGGGTGGTTCATCTTGCATCCAGGAGCTGGTAATAAATATGGAGCATCTGTCTCCAACAACAAGCGCTCAACTGGGATCCTGGCCACCAGATCTGGATCCTGCGCTGATCTCATTGTGACGCCAAATTTCACTGCAGGCAATTCCATCTCCCACTGGCGTAGCTCCTCCACCGAACCTGTGAAGCAATGTTGATGGAAAGCATGGTGTGTCATGTCCATCATACGGATCATGGCCAAGGTGCGTTTGGCTGCCTCACCGGATCCATCATCCCTGCAGTGTAGAATTACAGGCTTACTGACATCTCTTGCCAAGTTAAGGG